GGTGGGACGCGTTCTGGGATTCTGCGGCGAGGGGGGGGGGGCAGATCGTGCGGGCCCAGCCACGCAGCCCAACTAACTTGAGGAGATCAAAGGGGCCACCCCTCCCCCGCGCGCTGCCACGAAGCTTCTAGGGAGCACGTGGTCGATGGGGTCCCGCCAAGCGAGCCGGGTCCCAACACTGCGTCGCTGTCTCCCGGGGCCACGAGTCTAGTCGTGTCGGCCCACGTGCCTGTTGATGGGGGAAACCAGATTGGTGGGGAGGCCGCGATTCCGGACCGTGCCATGATTGCCTCAGATCTGGCACCTGCCCAACCCAGCCAGCCAGAGAATGCCAATGATTGCGAGACCAGCGTGGAGCACGAGGTTCAGAGAGAGGAGTCCACGCCAATCAATTCTGAGAGCCAGCCTGTGACTACTAATGATTGCGAGACCAACGCGGGACACGAGGATCAGAGAGAAGATTTCGCGCCAATCATCGACGAGAGGAGCCATGCAACTCCTGTTCATGTGGAGGAGTCTACGTGCAAAGAGCCTGCGTGCATGCCTTGCACAGACTTAATTGTGATGAACGCAAGCATGCTAGGAAGGGATGGTGCCGTGCTGGGTCCTGACTTCCCCACGGATGAGGCCGCTGCCATGGAGGGAATGACGCCTCCCGAATCAATCGCTTACTCCAAGCTCAAAGCGTTCTGCGTCAACATCGTCAAGAAGCTTGCCCCGCCCCTGCTTAAGGAGGTGCAAGCCTCCATGCTTCGACCAGACGCAGAGCCGTTCACGCCGAGGCGCACTACGAGAGCCAAGAAAAAGGCTGGGGGAGCAGCCTCGTCAAAGGCCACCCCAGCTGAGAATGTGTTGCTTCGCACGCTCGGTTTGGCGCCGCATGATCTGCATGTGGATGAGCAAATGGTGGAGGATCTAAAAGGACTGTTCGACTTGCCGCTCAGAGAGTAGCACATCCGAGTCATTGCCTCACTCTTTGGGAAGACCATGCCAATTGGTGGAGATCTTGGAGGGGCAAGCTCGACGGCCTTGGGAGTACATTAGCGTTGAGCAATGTCCAGAGGGAGTGGTTGCGAATTCTTCCATGGATTTTAGCCCATCGATCCTATGTTGGAACGTGAGAGGATTAAACAACCCAGCGAAGAGAGATGCAATTAGGGCGTTCGTTGCCACCGTGAAAGTGAATGTAATTTGTCTGCAAGAAACTAAGATAGAAGTCATTGACCGTTACACTGTGTTGCAATGCCTCGGGCCGGCCTTCGATGGCTTTGCTTTTCTGCCCGCGGCAGATACGAGAGGTGGAGTTCTCATCGCTTGGGATTCGACTTGCATTGACATTGATCAGTTCCACGCGAACACTGATTTCATCTCGAGGCGTGTTCTTACGAGACATGGGGCATCCTGGTGGATTTCCGCGGTCTATGGACCGCAAGGAAACACTAGGAAAACTGCGTTTCTGGAGGAGCTTCATGCAGCGCGAGCGCTCAGGCCTGGACCGTGGATGATTCTTGGCAATTTTAACATGATTCTGCATGCCTCGGAGAAGAATAACTCGAACCTGAACAGGAGCATGATAAATAAGTTCCGCAGCTTTATAGACAACAATGAGCTCAGAGAAGTATACATGCATGGGAGGAGATTCACTTGGTCGAACGAGAGAGATGTCCCTACCCTAACCAAGATTGATAGGGTGCTGGTTTCCGTGGATTGGGACTTGGAGTATCTGGACTGTCTCTTGCAAGCGTTGTCCTCGGGCGTATCTGATCATGCTCCACTCCACCTGAACACGGGAGCTCTTTTCTGTCCTAAAAAGAGATTCCGCTTTGAGAATTACCGGCTTAAGCTTGAAGGGTGCGAGGATGCGATAAGAGAGGCATGGGTCTGTAGCGATACGATTGTGGATCCTTTCAAGCGTCTCGACGCGCTCTTCAGAAACGCTGCAGAGTCCCTGCAGTCTTGGGGACAGAGAACGACTGGGAACATCAAGTTACTCATGGCAGTGGCAACTTATGTGATCTGCAGATTCGACAGGGCCCAGGAAGACCGCATTCTCACCGACCAGGAGCTCTGGCTGCGTCGTACTCTCAAGCTGGCGTTGTTGGGTATGGCTTCCCTTGAGCGGACCATTGAACGTCAGCGTTCTAGAATGAGGTGGGTTAAGGAAGGTGATGCCAACATGAAGTTATTCCAAGCTTTTGCAAACGGCCGGAGAACCAAAAACTTCATTCCGCGAATCAAGGTTGGAGACGAGATACACACCGATCAAGACCGTATAGCAGATGCTTTCACTTCTTCCTTTATGGAGCTTTTGGGGAGAGATCAGGCGCGCGAATTCACACTTGACTTGGATGCCCTCGGTTTGCACACTACTGATCTGCAGGAGCTCGAGGAAATCTTCACCGAAGGTGAGGTGTGGAAGATGATTAAGGAGATGCCACCGGATCGGGCTCCTGGGCCGGATGGATTCACCGGTGCTTTTTACCAAAAAGCCTGGCCCATCATCAAGGGCGATATCATGGCCGGCTTCCTGAAACTGTATATGGGAGATGGTCGGGGCTTCGCGAAATTAAACAAAGCTCTGATGGTACTCATTCCTAAGAGAAGTGACGCGGAGGAAGTGGGTGATTATCGCCCGACCAGCTTGCCTCATAGCTTTGGCAAACTCTTCTCCAAAATGATGGCCATCAGAATGAGGAAAATGCTTCTGGAACTAGTCAGCATGAACCAGTCCGCCTTCATCCGTGGGAGAAGCTTACACGATAAATTCCTCCTAGTGAAGCAAATGGTGAGAAAAATGCATGCCCGCAAAACATCAATCGACTTTCTGAAGCTTGACATATCACGGGCATTTGACACCATCTCTTGGCCGTTCCTGTTTGAAGTTTTGAGAGCTAAGGGATTTGGAGAAAACTTCAGAAAGTGGGTTGCGATCTTGCTGCAGTCTGCGTCTTCAAGAGTCATTGTCAACGGGAATCAAGGTGTCAGGTTTGATCACGCTCGTGGGCTGCGCCAAGGAGACCCCAACTCACCGCTCCTCTTTGTCATGGCGATGGACGTCCTCTCGGCCTTAGTTTGCAAGGCTGCTGTAGTGGGGTTTTGTCCTCCTTCAACGGTGTGTGGGCAAGCCAGAGGCTCTCTCTTTTCGCTGATGACGTCGCGCTTTTCGTGGGCCCCACGGAGCCGGATCTCACTTGCATTAAAGAAGTCTTATACCTCTTTGGACACGCTTCTGGCCTTCGAGTGAACTATCGCAAAACATCGGCAATTTTGATCCGGGGACAGCAAGGGGATCAGGACAGAGTGCAGCAGTTTTTAAACTGTCATATGGGGCAGTTCCCTTGCAAATACTTAGGGTTGCAACTCAGCATCCACAAGCTCTCCAAAGTGCATTGGCAGCCAATGCTTGATCAGGTCAAAAGCTTCCTTCCAGCTTGGCAACGTGGCATGATTCAGAGACCCGGGAGACTAGTGCTCGTTAACAGCGTCATAGCAGCCCGCCCCATACATCATTTGCTAGTCATGAAAGCGCCCCAATGGGTTCTCGAAGAAGTGGACAAGTGGATGCGTGCTTTTTTCTGGGCTGGGAAAGAGGAGATCAATGGCGGACAATGCTTGGTTGCGTGGCATACCATCTGTAGGCCTAAGCCGTACGGTGGGATGGGAGTCAAGAACCCGAGGACTCAAGGCCTGGCCATGCGCGTTCGCTGGGAGTGGCTCAGGAGGACAGATTCCTCAAGGCCTTGGCAAGGGCTACATCTCATGGTGGACAAAGAAGCCAAAGCGGTGTTCGACAGTCTGGTCCACATCGAGGTTGGAGAGGGCAGCAAGATCTTCTTCTGGACGGACAGATGGATTCACGGGTTTGCGGCAAAAGATATCGCCCCTTTGATCGCCGGCATGGTGGACAAGCTCACGGAGAGAAAAAGAACGGTCCGGGATGCGCTTTTCGAGGACTCCTGGGTCAATGATATCACGGGCGAGCTATCCTTCACGGCCCACCTGCAGCTCATACACTTGCAGCATGCCTTGGCGACGATTCAAAGGAATGCTTCGGACGATGATGCTTTCTACTGGCCCTGGAGTGCCTCGGGTTCCTATAGCACTAAATGCACTTATAGTATGCTTTGCCAGGGCATGACTCGGTTTGCCGCTTCCCAATGCATATGGAGAAGTTGGGCGCCCCTCAAATGCAAAATCTTTGCATGGCTTGCCTCTCAGTATCGGTTATGGACTTCGGACCGACGTGCGAGGCATGGTCTCCAAGATACGGCTTCTGCATGTTACACATGCTACCAGGAGGAGGACACAACAGACCATATCCTCGCTGGATGCGTCTACGCGAGACAAGTTTGGAATGGTTGTTTCCGGCTGCTTCAAATCAACGTCCAAATTCCAAGCTCCGAGGATACTTTCATGGTGTGGTGGGACAAGGCGCGGAAGTTCTTCCATGGAAAGCTCAAGAGAGGTTTTGATTCGCTTGTCATCCTGACCGCGTGGCACTTAAGGAAGCAGAGGAACGCTCGGGTGTTCAACCGCAATGATCAAGTCCGCTCGGAGACCAACCTTGTTTATCTCATACATGACGAGATCAAGCTTTGGAAGAAGGCGGGCCTAGGAGTTGAGGGGTTAGATCCTTTCGTGAGAGAGTAGGCTTTTGTGTTTTTTAGGAGTAAGCGTTTCCGTGGTAGGCTTCTTCGTCCAACCGCGGAGTCTTGTACAACTTTTTCTCCCCTTCTATAAAGATAAGGTACGCCTTTGGCGTACTCTCCAAAAAAAAATTCAGTGCCGGCTTTAGTTTAGTTTTTATATGTTTGGTAAGATAATCCAATGAAGTATAAATCCATAATTAATGCTAGAGGAAAACCTTTATAAGTATATACAAATGCATATCTGTTTGGCTATAAAGTAGGTGCACGTTGTCACCATCCCTACCCAGTTTAAAAGGTTAATCCTTGGATTTTTACATCGTCCAGCTAAAAGTCTACAGAAAGAAGCTAGCTATGAGGACTCCTGGTCATGCTAAGAAGGTAATTCCAATGGAACAACTGTCTTTTGTTCATCAGATATTGTTATCCTGATGGTTAGGTCGCAGACTAGTCTCATTGGCCCTAAACAACTATACTTCCTGCTCTAACTTTGTCACTGAGAACTTGTATGTCAATATGTATTCTCTACTACATTACCATTTTTGCAGGTGAAAAATGTGACAAATGATGTAATTGACGGCAAGCGGGGCATGATCTACATTCCAGACCAGAAGGTTTGTGTCTAATTTGCTTTATAAATAGTTGTGAAGTTTAAATTTAACCCATTGGTGTACTAATCTGCTTCATGTTTTTTTGACTGAAAGATTTCAAAATTGACCTTAACAAAAGACATAAAGGGTCTGAAGCAGGAGCGCCATGATGCCAAGAAAAACAAGGGGCACTCTAAGAAGCAAAAGGTCAACCCTGAGTGAATATGACAGTCGTCATATTGTGATGAACTTATTCTGTTTTTCATCATCAATTTCATTAATGCTTGTTCCAGATCGAGTTACTGTATGTCTGCATTGTGGTTTTGAGTTAGCTAGGTAGTTTTGTATCAATTTTTAGATACAATGGAGCTTACGGTGCTTTATGTCACGGTTCGTGTTCATGGCCTTGGTTACCATAATATTTTACATATTCTTTGGCTTCACTCACGTATTGTAGGTCTTTATCATCGATCAAAATAAAGTTTCACTGTGCTTGTTTCGGAGTTGATGTGACAAGTCAGCTAAATAACATTTTGTATCAGTCTAAACTCTAACGAAGCTTGCTTGTATAGCTTAGTTTTTTTTACTTTGTGTCCTTTAATTAGATTTGTGTTGTATATTGTGTTCCACATTTGCTGAGATAAACCATAGATCTTCCAATTCTATAACAGTTTATGAAATCAGTCAACATCCCACACAGTACATATTCCATTGCTGCCTGCCGCTAACGTTAACTCCGTTTCAACATTTTGTTTTCAGCTGAGGAGGAGGAAGAAGAAGCTCGCTTCCAAGAGTGCAAAATGAAGGCGAGTGAAAGCGATGACCCAAGTGACACGCACCAGCTGAACCAACTGTCTCCTTAGCGTCTTAATATCATACCCTCTCCGTTCTTAAATGTAAGTCTTTTTTAGATATTTGAATATGAACTACATACGGAGCAAAATGAGTGAATCTACACTGTAAAATACGTCTATATTCATCCGTATGTAGTGGTTATGAACACAAAAAGGAGACACATCTATTATGAGGATAGAACAACTCAGAAGTACCTGTGAGAACTAGTGTTGGGGTAGTGCCGTTCCAAACAGAGCAGTTCATAGAATTTACAAAAAGGTGCAAAGCCATAACTCAAAAGTACCGAGGAAAGAGAGCGGATTGCCATGCTACTTTTATACCATTATTACATAGTTATGGAACCTTTTTATACAATTTTATTTGACTAACCTAATAATCCAGTGCCCAGTGTTAGTTGTTGTTTTGTGCATGTTTTTGGACTTTATGGAAAACAATTTCTAGGAACGAAATAAAAATCCGTCGTGAAGATTGAAGACCATGAGGCACGCATGGGCCATTGGATGACCAGAGGCCCCCTAGGGCCCACATGGGGTGGCCCCATGTCCCAAGCCCTGGTCGCATGGTGGGGCCACGTGGATCTCTCCTCTCTACCAACTCTTGATCCCTTTGCCTTTATGTTGATATGAAACCCCAGAAAAAATATTGAGGAATTTTTCTGCCGCAGCCACCTCGTGTTCCGCGATGATCCAAATTGGAGCCTTTTTCAATAATCAACCGGAGGGAGAGATCATGGGATCTTGATTGCCTGGTTCTATGTTAATTCACAATGCACTTGTCTACTATTTTGAGGTCCTTATGATTAATATGAGTTTCAAAACTTTATACACTTCTCTCATCTTCATATTACTAGCCTCTTCGGTATTATGCATTGCTCACTCTCACCTTGAGACTTGGTGCATCCTTTGTTGCTACATGCAAATATCATGGGAGAACTTCCTCCTATTATCCTATGCATAAGCCCATATATCTTTCTCAAAATACCCACCGTACCTACCTATCATGGCATTCCATAGCCACTACGAGATATAATGACATGCAACATCCATCATTACACGATATGACTAGAGGTGTGATCCTTCACTGTCATTTTTCTTTGCATGATCATATATTGCTGGCACGATATTGATGTGGCACAACCACCGTCATTCATTTTCATACATGCCACACTAGACCATTGCACATCCTGGTACACTGCTAGAGACATTCCAATAGAGTTTCTACATCATGTTCATCGTATTAATCAGTTGAGTTAAGTTATGACTAAATTCAAAAGGCATTCATTAGAGAGTGTTGCTTCCACTTTGAGAGATCAAATAATAGATGCACCATGGGGATGTCACCAAAAAAAGGAGAAAAGCTTAAAAAGGTAAAATAAAAGCTAGAAAAAAATGGAGAAGATGAGAGAAGAAGTGACAATAATATTCCTTTTTAGTATACACTTCTACTTCAAAGTACTAATTTTAGCAGATATTGTAAAGTCTTCAGAGTAGCACTACTACATTGTAATATGGGGTTTTCATGTACTTCATATTTCATATACTAGTGGGGACTTTTACATTATAGAACTAATTTGCTTGTATATTCCAATGATGAGCTTGTCCAAATGCTCTAGGTCTTCATGAGTAAGCAAGTTGGATGCACACTTTACTAGTCCTTAGGAGAGCTTTCATACATTTCTAGCTCAAGCGCATCTCTTGCGTGGCGATCCTACTCCTTACATAACATCGGTTATAAGGTCTTTCCATTGCCTAATGATCAACTGCGTTAACCCAAGTTTTTCTTTATTTTTGACTTCATGTAAGTCTCAATCATTATTCTCCTTTTTACAAAGCCGACAACACGGTAACATTACACTTCTCTTTCTTATTATTATTCTTATTTATATAATTTGTGCTACCTTCACATGAAGTGAAAGGACGTTGTTCAGAAGAGTCTTCCTACATTTGCGCCTTGCTAAAAGTTTCCATTTAATAAGTGCATCAAGTATTTCTTTAGAAAGAAAAGGAACCACTTCTATTCTCTTTTCTTAAGTATAAGAGGGATAAGTACTTATTCACGGCCATTAAGTGGTAAGGTCTAGACTCATGCTTAAGTATTACATGAGTAAGATGTGTGCAAAATACAAAAAAAATCATGGAATCATTGTACTTGGTCGACCTTGGGTTATTTATGATAATATTGTCATCAAACATAGAAATAAAATGGACGCGCGTAGAGTGGGCTAGGGTTTTGGTGCAACAACGCGTAGTTTTATAGCCAGAGCCGAGCCAATCAGTGGTGCGCTGGTCGCAATGCCCGGAATGTGGAAGTTGAGAAGTTTCCCAATTTTTTTTTCTGAGAATGCCCTCTTCTATGCTAAATTATGCTATATATGAGTATTTTAAGGGATAGAAGATAGATTTTTGAGGAAAATACAGTTTGGTGGATCTGCTAGCAGGAGAAATTCCCTAAACCAGAAAAAAAATCCCCTTCAAATGTAGCTTTTAGGGGATCTACTAGAGCTACTATTACTATTTAATTTGGAACATCTATTGTCTTACAATTTGTGACTTCTGAATCAAAAAGGCTCGTGTGTTCCTACCGGGTGGAAGGCATTTCTCCAACCGGAGGTCTCCGTGGAACTTATTTTCAATGAATTGGAGTTTTTCTCCTTTCCATGTGCCCTTCCGTAATAGAAAGGCCAATATATTTATCATTTTAAACCAAAATTTCACCAGGTTTTCTATTTAGCCCTATATATGTGCCTATCTTCTCCTTTTTATAACCGAAGAGTATAGCACACAAATACATACACATGCACACACTCACACAACCCGTACTAAATACTAGAATCACATTTCTTCAAACTATATTGATGAAGCCATATGTATCTATCGGAGGGGAAACTATATTGATGAAGTCATATGTATCTATCTTATGGCCATATGTCTTCAAGATATATTGATGAAGTCATATGTAACGGCATGCATAATGGTTGATAAGGTTGTATTTACTTATGTATTCCACATCATCTAGATAAGTTAGAAGACATGTTATACAAGGGATTATCCTTATCTCTAGCCATTATTTGTGCACTCCTGAAATCGTACCACAGAGAGATGACATCTTGATATCATCTCTTAGGTAAGAGAATACAAACCTCTGCCACAAAGAACGGTTGTGATAAGAAACGCTCAATTTTTCTTGCTCTTGCTACAGTTAAACGATCCTCTCTAATAATTTTCAAATTTATCTCTCTTCCAACAAAGTCATATGTATCTATGTTTTGGCTACATAGAATAACTCCGGTTTGTTTTCGGCATGTCTAGTTCCCACTGTCCAGTTATGAAACAGAGCATAAGCAATTACCAAATTTTAGGGTTGATCCATGGGTAGGAAACACTAAGACAATGACGAAACTTTGAATAATCATAAACTCATGAACATCATGGGAAATCAAGTAACTTGAGGCCATAATCTACAACAAATCAGCCACCCTGGAAAACAGTTGCAAGTCTACCCATGACTTGCAACCGGCCCGATGTTTTTTTTTGCATTAGTTACATGTCCGTGCTCGACTTGTAACTGGGCCTGACTTTTTCCCGCCTTAATCGCAAGTCCACCATTGGCTTGCAACTAGGGGTTGACTTATTTTGTAGCAACTAGAAGTCAACCATCTATTTGCAATTGGGTCTGCCTTTATTTCTATTTGAATTGCAAAACAACCATGGACTCATAGACTCTTGATCCGTTCTTTTGACTCAGTTGCAAGTCCACCATTGACTCGCAACTGGGTCCGACCCTTTTTTTGTCCCAGTTGAAAGCCCACCATTGACATGCAACTGGGCATTTGAACCTATTTTTTATCACAGTTGCATGTCCACACTTGAGTGGCAACTTGGCATTTCAGTTTTTGGTTTCCTCTAATTGTTGTTTTTCATTCGTGCATTGACTGTTTGGATGCTCATTTTCCTAGAACAAAGTCGCTGGCATGAGAAGAATTCTAAAAGTTAAATACTATAGAAAAAAGGAAGATACAAATGTTGCCGTCAATTTTCAACCAACTGATTATTTAGCAAAATGAACAGTAAATGCATTTGATTGCTGCTAAAAACATGTTCAAAGTATATTACAAAAGAAAAATCAGCGCATAATTAGGAATTGTTCATCTTATTACAGAAAATTGGTCACCATGTTATGAAAAAAATGTTTGCCATATATTTTAAAAATGTTCACCGTGTAATTTAAAAAGTTCATCATATATTACCAAATAGTATCGAATCACCATGCTAAATGCAACCATTTTTTTATTTCTCTCCAAGACAACCATTGACACAAAATAATTTTTTTGCACGCAATCATGGCTCTCTCATTGAGGACCAAAAACAAACAGCATGCCCTCCATCAGAAAATGTTCCTATTTTTGTTCACAAATTTAAAAAATGGTTGTGTTTCAAAAAATGTATGCAAATTTGTTTTTTTTCATGTTTCGA